GAGACCGGCGAATAGAGTGCCGTGCACAAGTCAATTGGGACCCAGCTTGCACGTGTGCACGTGCAGGGTGCCGCTAGAAGATCTCGAAAACGGCCGGGCCGATTGCACTCAAATTTGGCACACCGCTAGAGACCGGTTAGTAGAGTGCCGTGCACGTCAGTTCGTAGCACACCCACTCCGGTCTGCACGTGCGAGGCCCATCCTCTCGTTTGGTATAGAACGTTGTTGCACGTCGTGCCGTTTTTGAGGAATTTAGTAAAAAAAGCACGTAGAGTGCAGTGCATGTCAGTTCGTAGCACACCCATTCTGGTCTGCACGTGCAAGGCTAATCCTCTCGTTTGGCGGCGGGCGTTTTTGCGGCGACACAGAGGTGCTTGCTCAAACAACCTGCGGTCCCGCGATGCGGAGCCCAGCATCGCAGATGCTGGTAGAATTGTGATTTTCTATTGAAAATCCCAACCTGAGCTACCTCTCTAGGGGGGTGTTTAGCGTTTCTGCCGCGATTTTGGTCATTTTGATCGCCGCCGAAACGGCTCGTTAGATTTTCTTGCCATTTTCACCGTTTGGACCCGTGTGGGGGAGCTACCTGCTGGGCAAGTTACAAGAAATATAATTGACACGTTTTGGGGTAATCGGCACGTGCATTTTCCCATAGGGTTAACATGGGGAAAAATTAAAAATGCGATTTACGGAAAATCTGTTCAGTAATATTTGCCCACATTTTTAGGGTCGGCTCTCGGGCTGACACCTCACCTTTTGGTGTTTATTATTTAAAAATCATAGGGTACAATTTCGGGTAATCGTGACGGACAGTTACCCCATGTTGAGCCTATGGCAATTTCGAAAAATTATTTTCAAATCGATTTTGCCAAAAATTTCCACGTTAGATTTTGAAAATGTTCCAATATGTTGTGCCCCGGGGTGTCGGCTACCACATGATATGGGTCAGATATGGGGCGATTGAAAAGCACGTGCCACGTGCAAACGTGTTTGATGGGGTAACCTCCGGGAAAATCCGACATTGGCCAACTGGGGGTCCTATGGCGTGGAAACGACTTCAACTAGCGACACCAAATCAGTGCAGCCGGTGAGCAGATGAGTCCAGCTTGTCGCACTAGTGATCACGTGTCGCACGTGCTATTGCACGTGCCGTGGCACGGGGTCAATTTTGGTGCTTAAATATACTAGCATTGTGAAATGCAAGGAATGGGGGAAATATCCGTCAGACCGTCAGTTTTTATGATAGGGTCGATCTTAAAACGGGTTTAGGCACAGAATGAAAGGGGCTAAAAAACTGCTATCTCGGATTTTTTGTAAAATGAAAAATTTAAAATTCTGGGGAAATTATATATTCGAAAGGTGAAATTTCCCTAAATTTTCCCGTTTTTCGAGTTAAGCCGTCCACTGTTCAGAGACGGTGACACCGGCCGGGGTCCTCTTTTACATGCTGATGGCCACGTCGATGGGTCATCACGTGGCGTTAACGGTGAAGCTATCCGAGGTCCGGCACGTGCCACGTGGCCACGTGTTTGAGTCGCGTACCTCCCAGATTATCGTGTGTTTGCCGATTTGTGGCCTTATAGCACGAAAACAGCACAAGCCAGGAACGCTGAAATGCTGCAATCAGTGAGGGGACAAGTCCTGCTTACACCACCGGCGGTCACGTGGCAAACGTGCAAATTTGGGCACCTCCGTTGCGGAGATATTTTATAGTGAAATATTCAAATGAACATAACTTTGTCAGTTTAAGTCCGATTGGGCCAGACTTTGGTGGTTGGATGAATTGTTAAGCGACAGGAACGAATGCGCCACGTTTGTCGCAGTGCGCCACGTTTGTCTCAAAGCGCCATTTTGCCGCAAATCACAGAATGTGCTAACTTTATCGAACATGGGACGATCAGGATGCGCTTTGATTAAGGGATGGCTGCTTAAAAGGCAAATATGAATGCACCACACTTGCCGCAAAGCGCCATATTTGTCTTAATGCGTCAGTGTTTTCGTTTTGTGGACGGCATGCGTTTTTTTGCGGCGGTGTTTGCGTTTTTCGGTGTTTGCGTTTGCCGGCGGTCGGCCGTTTAGCGTTTTTTTTGTGGTGTTTGCGTTTCGCGGCGGGCGGCCGTTTTTTGTGGCGTTTTGCGGTTGTCGGCGGGCGGGCGTGCGATGAAGGGGCGTTTTTTGCGGCGGTATTTGCGTTTTTTGCGGTGTTTGTGTTTGGCGGCGGGCGGGCGGGCGACGCGGGTGTTTTGCAATGTTTGCGTTTAGCGGCGGGCGGCCGTTTTTTTTGCGGCGGTTTGCGGCGGGCGGCCGTTTTTTTGCGGCGTTTAGCGGTTTGCGGCGGGCGGCCGTTTTTTTGCGGTGTTGCGGTTTGAGGCGGGCGGCCGTTTTTTGCGGCTGTTTGTGGCGGGCGGCCTTTTTTGCGGCGTTTTGCTATTTGCGACGGGCGGCCGTTTTTTGCGGAGTTTTGCGGTTGCCGGCGGCCGGCCGTTATTTGCGGTGTTCCGGTTTGCGGCGGGCGGTCGTTTTTTGCGGCGTTTCGCGGTTGGTGGCGGGCGATGCGGGCGTTTTTTGCGGCGTTTCGCGGTTTGTGGCGGGCGATGCGGGCGTTTTTTGCGGCGGCGGTATTAGCGTTTTTTGCGTTGTTTGCGTTTTGCGGCGGACGCGCGTTTTTGCGGCGTTTTTTTTGCGTTTTTTTTGCGGTTTTCGGCGGGCTTGCGATTGTTTTTTGCGAAGTTTGCGTTGGCGTTTATGGCGTGCGTTTTGCGCGTTTTGCGGTGTTTGCGTTTTGCGGCGGGCGGGCGGTTTTTTCACAATTAAAGTCCCAACCTTCGGATCCGCAGTGCTGTTCGACAAGCGCTGCCCGGGCCTATATGTACTAGGCAACTGACGCCCTATCGCTGATTCTCGACAAAATGCGTTTTCTTCGGTGTTATAGCGCATTCCCTAGATGACCCGTGAACGGTGAAACATTTCATCTTTGACCTGACCTGTGACGTCATCGGTGACCCCGAGGTCAATGAAATTTGGTTTCCTTCAACAAATTTGACAGGCCTTTCGAACGCCGTTTGAATTTTGCGGATCCGTCCAGTAGTTTCGGAGATACGAGGGGGGGGGGCAAAAAATAGCCCCCCCCCCACCAGGTCGCGTTATAAACAGACCCCACCAGGGCGCGGGTTAAATAACAATATTTTGTCGTGGTAAAGGCATTCGAGGTGCATAGACACGTTGGCGTAAGTACTTGTACCTAAGCAATTCACGCTCATATGACTCGGTGTTGCGGTCATTTCTACAGGTACCAATCTAAAAAAATAGCATAGGTAGATATGTGATGATCAGCAGTTTCGTACATTTGGCATGAATAATAATCACTCACATAAATCACTCACAAGCTCGCTTCGCCAGGGCCAAAACTGTGAAGGGGACGAGACAGTACCACAGATTCTGTCCAGTTGACCTGACCACAGTCCGCGTCCACGAGCTTTCAGAAGATCGGGAGGGCAAGGAAGTCAAAGTGTCTTAGATAAGCACATACAAAGTAGACGAGCTTGGAAAGTTGCACTGTTGGATCGGACCAATGTTGTGTTGTGTTGTTGTGAATATGTTGTCGGTTTGCTGTGTGCCGTGCGTGCCGATTAGGGTGTACATAGGAAAATGTTTTATGTGAGTGATTATTATTCATGCCAAATGTACGAAACTGCTGATCATCACATATCAGCTACCTATGCTATTTTTTTTTTTTTAGATTGGTACCTGTAGAAATGACCGCAACACCGAGTCATATGAGCGTGAATTGCTTAGGTACAAGTACTTACGCCAACGTGTCTATGCACCTCGAATGCCTTTACCACGCCAAAATATTGTTATTTAATCTGGCTGAAAATAAACATTTTTCACGGAATAAAAACGTTTTTCGCCAATATCTTATTATGTTTATTAAGTCAGATGTATAAAATAGCGCCATCGTGTTTGCTTTTTCCAGTCGGATCGAATTGTATAAGTTTTTATTTCGAAAGGTCAAATATGAAATTTGACCAAAATTTGACCCTAGGTCAAGGTCACGAAATGACCTTAACATATAAGGCTGCGTATGGCATGATGCGCCTGGCCAAAGTGAACTAATTGATGTGTTTCCCAAATCCCTATACCTATTCTATCAAAAGATATAGACATAAAAGGCATATGAATGTCGTGAGTCATAATGTGACCTCGGATGACCTTTCCGCGGGTCACTGATGCAAAATTGCACCAGAGTGATCAATAATAACCTAATATGGTATGATTATGAAGTAACTGTACCAGTCCGATGCGTTTTAGTGGCCTAGCCGGTACTTTTGCCATTGACTTATAATGGGCAGGTCACAAAGATGACCTGACCTGAGGTCAATGCAGGCCGATAGCCATGTTTTTTATTGTCGCATATGAACGACCATTGATAAGGCTTGAATCGTCATCAGACCAAATTTTAACTTTCAGGTGGGAAAGTGTCAAGGTCACTCTTCAAAAAATAGGTCAAGAGGTCACGTGACCAAAATTTTCGAAAATCGAAAATCCGAGATAGCCAAAAGTTTCCTTGGTTGATTTTGAGTTGGAAGACATAAAGTTATCCTTATACAAAAGTCAATAGTTTTTGAGTTATGAGCCGCCAAACATAGGGTTGAAGCGTGACCTCCAGAAATTGCCCGAGGCTATATCTCGTTAACCGTTCGTCGAAAAAAAAAATCATCGCCACAGCTGGCTTTCCGGCCCAAAACAACCCCCTAGACGAATTTTGAGCGAAAAATAAAATATGAGGGTGCACAGCTTTGGTCGATCTATCGTGGAATGCCCCAGCTGCCAAGGCGTTGTAACCTTTCTTCGGATCCTGGAATGCTATCAACGACTTGGCGTAGCTGAGGCCCTTCTTATCAGCCTAAACCACAACATACCATCCCCATCATTTCCTACCATAAAACCAACCGCAGCTAATAAACTAGCTCACGCATGTGTCCCAAGTCTCAACTCACATCTTTTCGTCCTCGCTTTCCGAGTTTGCCGGCACCGACTCTGGAGATAAGCTGTAGCTGGCGACGCACATCCTTGTCCCTGATGTTGCGCCAGTTGCGGAACTTGGCCTCCTGGCTCAGCTCCAGAACATCATCCAGGTCACGCCAGCTCTTCCAGTCAAACTTTTGTTTGACGCGGATGGCACTCCTCTGAAACGAACGTAGACATTGTTGAAAACGTCACACAGTAGGAAAACGCAGATGAGACCAGGATATTACCCGATATTGTGTTGTTAGTTGTTTTGTTACCTAACCCGCGCCCGGCTGGGGGTCCTGGATTTCCACGCCCTGCTGGGGGGTGTTTGAACACCCCCCCCCCCCCTTGTAACTCGGCTCCTGGGCCACGTAGCGATACGCAGAAGGCGGCGTTCGAAAGAGCGTCAAAAATAATGACGAAATCACTTCGGTCAATTTTTTGGTCAGGTCAAAGGTCAGGTCACCAGAGGTCATTGAATGCAAAATTTCGCCGATTTCCAGGTCGAATATCGAAAATTTCCAAGAAGCCAACGCATAACTCGGGAACCAATAGAGCTACAGCGCCGCGGAAAAGCGCATTCGATAGCCCTATTAGCGCCCTTTCTGAGTAATTCTCTCAGATTTGACCTAACGTCAACGTTTTGCCTGCAGGGGGCAAAAACTGCAAAAATAGCCGATTTTTTCGGAAACAGTTTTTCTGCAATAACTTTTGACCCAAGCCTTGTACGAGATTACTTTTACCGGCATCGTGTTCTTCTCGTCAAGACGCATCGAATGAACTATAACTTGAACTTGAAAGGTCAACTTGAAAATTTGACCTCAGGTCAAGGTCATGACCTGACCGGAAAGGGTCATGCTGCATATCAGTCGATCCGTATCGTCGAGCTGAACACATCTAAGGCGTTTTCATCGCTCTAGCATGCCTCTATCAAAAGTTATTTGCGAAAAACTGTTAGATACCATTCGTGACCTAAGATGACCTCAGGGCATAAACAAGGGTCACGGACACCATTTTCATGTTCAGTGTGTCTAAACCACTTGTAATTCGGTGTTTGGGAGTGTTTATAATGTCTTTCGCCCAAAAGAGGCGCATTTCAATTTTCTCCCATTGACTTATAATGGGGAGGTCGCAAAATTGACCTGACCTTAGGTCATAGATATCAAAATTCTGAGATATACATTTTGTACATGCTGTTGCTCTTAGCAATTGCTGAAAGTTTCAAAGCGATCGGTCACTCGGTGTAGCTATGACAGACATTGAAACTTTTTATGAGGTGAGGTCACTTCAAGTGACCTGGTGACCTGACCTTGAATGACCTTGGTCCGAAATTTTCACAACATGTGTAGAATTGATGTATGATAAGGTGTACCAAAAACGGCGGCGCTCCGCGCCGCCGTTTTTGAGATATTCGCGAAAAACCATAAGGGGGGTGTTCAAACACCCCCCCAGCAGGGCGCGGGCTAATAGTTATTTCGCACTCTTTCTCCGAATAATATGCCAAATTACCATCACTTTTCCCCGTTCACCCGACCTGATGCTTATTGGTGCAAGATTGCATATGCTCGAAATTCGAGAGCCAAATTTACTGCTTTCAAAGTGGATCGTCAAATCCGATATCTTCTTTTATTTTACTGCGAATGCCACTGACAAAGAAGTTCAAATCTAACCTAAACTACAGAAAGATGAGCAGCGACCCTGACCTATAAACCTAGTATCACTGCCAACGTTTTTCCGTAGATCCACGCACACTGCACGCGTCTGCGCGAACGAAATATCGCGTGTTAGGTATGACTGCAAACCAGCGAATCATATCACTCGAGCAACATTTGGGGAACAACACCCGTCTCAGTGCTAACTAATTGCGGGGGAATGTCATCAAAGCTCTTCCTCATTGTCTAGCCCACACGCAGCAACCCACTTTCAGTCACACATGTGTGTGAGGTAAGCGCGTGTCTGTATGTAGGCTTATTTGATTTACACTACAGCTACACTAAACAGTCTTACAACAGCTCGCTAAACTGAGCACAGTCCGCAGCAAGCGTTCAACGTTTCCCGGATCCCTCCTACGGCAACCTTTTCCGAGCCGGCGCGTGCACGGACCGCCCCACGCCGCCCCGGTTCCGAAGTGGCAGTGGCAGGAGGATAAATATGGAGCTGCGAGGTGTGTCAACTCCCACAGATGGGGCGATAGCCTCCACTTGGCCCTCAGGAGCCGAGACCCGTTGAAACTGGAGCACTATCGAGCACTGCCGTTCGGCTAGCCGGCCGAGCGTGGCATGGTAACGGTTGCACAGGAAAGTGGAATTGACAGATGGAGAATGTGACAGGAGCGCGAGAAATATTCGATACGCTAGTCTCACTATACAGGGTTACGCAAACTTAGAACTTTATCATTGTGTCCGCTAATTAAAGAAATATCGTTGATTTCCGATCGGTAAATAGGTGTTGGCACGGCTTTTGATACGTTAGCTTGAAATCAATTTGCGCATTGACATTTTCAATGAGCGTTACACTATATTTCTCTACAAAGTATTAAAAGTGCCAAAAGAAACGCATTGCACATAATGCAAATGCATTTTGTTTTCCCACACATTGCAACAGACGGTCCTAACCGTCATCAAAATGGCGGATATTCACAGCAAACTGCGTTGCCGGTCGCAAACCTCACCTTCGTCATTCCATTGACCATCACGTCGTCATCAGTATGACGCATTGACAAACGGATAAGGAAACCCTGGCCTCATTACACGACGGAGTACTCTTTCCTGGTTTATAGGTATAGGCGATCCTTGGTCGGTCCGAGGACTGTGGGTGGGTGGAACAGGTATCACACGGAGTAGGGCCCACCACAGGCTGCAGTCCGAGAATTTCAAGCGCTTGTGTGCGTACCAAAAGAACATCTGCAGAACCTTCACATGCCGGAGCACATGGAGGGAAACACACCCGTCTCTGTACATTTTTGGGAAAACGCCGTCATTTCTACGCCGGGGGCTGGCGCGTATTGGCCATCGGCACGGTTTGATGCATGCAGTTCATTCCGGTCTTTTTATGGAGCGAGTAAAACCGGTTGGCACGCTCCGAAGCACTGTTATCAAATGTTCGCAACTCGCCGGTATTTACCACTGTTTGGCTGAGGGGGTAGTGAGGGGGCGCGGGGGCCGGCGGAGGTGTCACGCTGAGCCAGGCACCGTGCCATGACGAGCCATGAGTCACCTCTGCTTCCGTCTGCACTACCCGCATTGTACTCATGAAACTAAGCATGTGGCTTATTCAGGACTTAGGCTGGCCGGGAGTTCGTAGAGACGGGGCAGTGACTGTTCCAGGATATGGCAAATTGAGCGGCCATGCAACCAACATGACCTTGTCAGGAGGTGAGAGGGCAGTCTACTCTACATATGTAGGTCTGTTTTCCGCAGGGAATCCTCATCAGATTCAAACAGGCACTAACGGGCGTTCTACCTCATGCAGGACAAAGTGGGTGTTTTTAGGAATTAGGATGGTTATCTGGCAAAAACGTACAACTGTTTGAAAATCACGAAGTGCTAGTAATACGCTAGAAACAGGGCAATTTACATTTTACGCAAACGACACATTTAAAATTCAAAAGAATGTGAAGACAAGTCAGTTTCAGAAATATGGGCTGTTTGTTAACTTGATTTCTTGGCTACAAGGGGGAAAACATATTTTGGCATATACCTGTAGCAGACAAAAGACATTTACGATCTATGAATGCATTAGTTAGAAAGAGACGGTTGTAGGAAGCAGGATATTGCGACATACATGACGTCAATAGACGGTGCATGGTCAACAACAGAGGCGCGAGATTGCCTGAAGGAAGGAAACTCGACATGGTGTTTTATGACGGGTAACTGTATCACGAACTACCGAACTTCTATTTGCATGCGCATATTCATGCAATCGTATGACCAAATTAAGGGCAAACAAGCAAAAGACCATGACTCACAAATCACAAAAAATTGTTATAATTCTATCTGGTTACGGTTTATAAGCTATCTATGAGCATTATAAAACGTCTAGTTACATGCATGCATTCATACGCTGCTATAATTCAGTCTAAAACAAGAACAGGAAAACAGCTAACCAAAGATCTATAGGTACTTGATATATGAATATGTAGTTATGAAAGTCGGCGAAACAAAATTTCTGATAGCTGTTCGGAGTTTTACATCCGGCGTAAGCGTGGCTGCAAAATGGCTCTCAAAATAGTTAAATTTTCCAGAAACTTCATCATTTTAAAAGCTTTTTTACAGCAATCGTCTTATTCAACAAGCTTTTAAGATTTCCATATGATATATGCCTATGTATGTAATTAGGTATCTATGCCTTCATTTGATGTAGAGGCTGGGACACACCTCTCGCTTGTGAATCGCGTCCAAATTCGCTTCGCGCTTGGAACTTCATCTGGTAGGTAAGTACCACACTGACACTACCATATTCAGTTGAATCAAAAGTCACGCCATTGGGTGTAAACAAAAGAAACAAAACAATAAAACAAGTCGATCGACAGCCCAGCCGTCGGCCCTGGCAGACATCCGTTTGCGTGGCCCTTGCGCAGCGACCCGTGCTGCTCCCTTGTGTAAGCTCGAACGAACAATCGTCGACAGGCAGCCCTGCAGACCTACGTTTGTTGTAACTACTGCAGACCTCTCATACGGATAATGGCAGGAGGACATGCACATTGCGCACCGCACCGCAGCGGCACTATCAGACATCACTGTCATGGCAACAGAGCGCAGCTTACGTAGTCCCCTGAGCTCATACTCAGTAAGCCTTCAACTAATTAGTATGCTGAAAAGACAACATGGTCAAGCGAAGGACAGTGCTGGGTGGAACATTCACTATGAAGACAAAATCGGGCAACTAACGGAATTCGGCTAGCACTGGGGCAGTAATGGAACTGCTCTGATGACACACGATTGTCACGGAGACCTGCCGTCAGGCGCAGCAATGGTGCGCCCGTGCTTACTGCCATAGCCATTGTATTCAGCTGCTGGTTGGTTTTATTACCATGCTCAGTACGCATGCTTGCATTGTCAATGTGCAATAAACTAAAAAAAATATTTTACAAAATCAACTCAAACAAACAAATACGACGGTCAATGCTACCTAAAATCAACATTCATAAGAACACGGACGAAATAATGCCACAAATTTGATACTGATAAGCGAAAGGCGTTAGGTCTTCTAACCCGGAACCATTACTCATGTGTCGTACTCATAACGCTATATCAGCAGCATCAGCGCTGAGCTGCAGAGGTGGCCCCTCCTCCATACGCCGACAAAAGTGGAGCAACTGCGTCATCTTTGTCCTGATGACGACACCCACCAGGAAAATGGACTGGCTGACGGAATGTCCAACCGCACAGTAGAGCGTCCTACACAAATGTTCTGCGAGGCAGTGACGCCGACGCCTAAAAAAAGTGGCCGCCTTTGCGTGCCCCGGCATTCGATGGCGCATCTGTCATTTCCGGCTTAAACTAGGCCTCTAACATGCTAGATGGTCACTGTCCTTAGCCCTGCGTGAAAGCAAAGCAATTGTTTGCAAGCGAATCATTACAAGGACAAAAAATTAAAAAGACGGATTCCTCTGATGAGTCTTGTCTTCCTGAAAGGAATTTGTTAGAAATAGGTCCTCAGTCTCTCAAAGTTAATCTCTTAATGTGTCCGTTTGCGAAAAATTTAGTGCCGATGGAATGGTGATAATCATTGGCTGTTTTATTTAACTGCAACTTGTACCTGAAGTTCGGAGCGTATATGTTCGCCTTCAGGGTACAAATGGTACATCAACTAGGAGGCGTGAAATTGGGGCGTTGATCGTCTTACCCTGCCAACTGAAACTAACCAATGAAATGTTCCCTTTTGCTCTACGTTCATAAAAAACTAGCGTGCCAATTCATTGTTTGTGTGCAGTTACTCAAGGGTGGGGTTAACTTGGGTCGCAGACCGGAGTCAAACAACATCTCGGCTAATTATATTCTGTCAAATAATAAAGATATAACTTGACTATAGCGCCACTGTGTTCTTCCTCACGAGTCAAATCATGAAGTGAAAAATATGTATTGCAAGGCAAGATATTGAACGAAAAAAAATGGAAGGGGAAAATCGGTCACAAGACGTAAAAAAAAAATCATATTTTACATAGGTAACTTCAAATGTGACGCCACCAATGAAATGTGCGCTATATGACGCTGAGCAACTTTAAGGGTGTTGCATCCACCAACTGGCCTGGCGAGTGTTAGCTGTTGCTAGGGCGAGGACGGCGGATGTGCCGCTAAATCAAAAGTTGAGGCCATTTGAGGAAGCAACAGTTACCTGTTTCTTGAAATCAACATCGCTTTATCAAACTTCCGAGCATTTACTTCTACATAAAATGCGGATCCTAGTGATAAGCACAAGAATGAGTCAACATAGGTACTGGTTTCTTTTCAAATTTTGAAACGACCAGTTTGATGACAGCATGCAGCACGCACAGATCAATATATGCTCCGCGATCACTTCGCAACAATTGGTGAGCGGTCTTAGAATGGCTGTCAAAAATAATGAAGAAAGTACGTCGGTTCTTTTCAGATCCTTCTACGAAATCGTTTGCATGAGCATCGCTTTTGTCACTTTGATACGCGTCGAACGAACCATAGTATAACTGGAAATGTAAACTCCAAAAATTGTCCAAGCGATGTATGGAATTGAGCTATGATTACCAAACCTTCTTTCGCAAAAGCTGCAGCAATATATCACATAACCCTCGCCCAGGGGGGGGTTGGTGCAACCCCCCCCTGAGGTTTTTCGAAAAAAGTGCAAAAACGGCGGCGCGCAGCGCCGCCAAATTTTGGGTACCTTATGGGGCAAACCTTGCGCATCTTTTGATAAAAAAAAATTTGACCGGGTCATGTCAGGTCACGGAGTTATGACGTCACAAAGGGAACAGCCTCCGGCCGGATTTTCACAAACTGAGTGCCAACGCCCGAGGTTTCCTGCCGGTGGTACGGACATCGGTTGATGGATCGTGATGAAACTTCCCATGCATGTTGGGGCAAGTATTGGCTTACATATGGTATAAGAAACTTGACCGGGTCAGGTCAGGTCACGGAGCTATGACGTCACAAGAGGAACAGCGTCCGGTACTATTTTTGAAAAGCGCCCGAACCACTATTTTGCTAATTCTTGTCACCTCAATGGGAATATGCAGCAATATTAGCTTCTATAGGGAGCAAATGGACATCCCAAATCCAAAAATACAATCAGATTTCAAAAATTTAAATTTTGATTTTTCGAATTTCTGTCGCCGACTGTGACCTTGCCGACTTCCGGCGCTCCCAACGCGTCATTTTTAGAGCTAGGGAAACGAAATACATACCAAACGATAGAAAATTGATCAAGGAACACGATAGTGAAGGTTTCAAGTCGATATCTCCCACCGTTTTGCCGCAATCGCCGCGGAAAATTTGAAAAAGTCTATTTTTCCGAAAATTTGACCTTTGACCGGTCAAAAGTAGGTCAAATGTTGACCTAGGACCAAAAAATATACCACCAATCGCGAGATCTCGGCGAGAGCAATCCGTTGGTCTTTTCCGCTAAGCTCTACGACGCTCCGTTTTCAAACGCCAAGGGGGGGTCGCACCAACCCCCCCCTGCATGGGCGAAGGTGGCAGATCGCCGTTTACGGGCGAGGGATAATTTTGATGATTTGACTGCTTTATGCAACTCGTTATTTTGGTTTTTGAGGCCATGTCAGAGCTGCTCTTGGCTCGACGATAAGCGAGGTACAGGTGAAACCCTGTCCTGTGTTCTGTGTCGTTAGTTCACACTCATTTACCTTATACCTACCTAAGCTGAGTGATACGAACTTTCACATGATCCATCTACATTCACATCAATTAGCAGTCCAGCCTTATGACCCTCCTAGAAAAAAAAAGAACAAATCAGGAAAATTTAGGAGGTATATTTTCCTGACGCGGCCCAATATATGATTCATATCGATTAAACACGGGTTTGATTCAGATCTTCAACACCAGCAATGGGACAACTCGGATAGTGTTTGCCCGAGCGGATGTGCTGCAAATGAGGTGAAATCCGACTGCAGCCGTGCTATTTCCCTGTGCTTTGATAGTATGTTTTCCTCCGCTCTCCTCACTGGCAGTTGCATTATGAAGGTCGTTTGGCCTAAGAGACCCAGGTATGGCACTCACCTAACTCACCAACCTGAGCTACGTGACTTGGTAAATTTGTGCGAAACTTGCCAAAATGCAGCTACGTAAAGAGTAAGTAAAAACAGTAGTTGCTTTCTATAGCTCCTAATTCACTTTATTAGTTGGAATACTTTGTTTAATTTCATTAGGCTATTTACTCATTTAAACATTCTATCAGTTTTAAAATTTGACAAAATTATCATAGTATACCTAGGTAGTGAAAAAAACTGAATAAAAAACTGAAACTGAAAAACGTCTCAAAATTATGCTCGACACCTGCCGATCATACGGCATCTGACGATCACACTAACTCGATATCAGGTGACACATACCAGTTTGATGCTGGACCGTTTGGTGGTGTTGGTGACATCCCTCCAGTCGGCCAGCACCACCTTCCTGCACAGTCTGGCCCTCTCAGACTCCTGTTCGGCCAGCTGCGCCTTCAGCGCCTGCACCAGCTCATCCGGCCCCAGCGGAGTCGGAGGAGACGGTGACGGTTGCTCGGCCTTCTGCGGCGCGGGCTGGACGGCGGCGGCCAGCAGCACGACCAGCACCGGCGCCAGCAGCCTCACCGACATGGTGACACCACTCGCAGTCCGAGGGTTAGAGTGGTCGGACCTCACACCAGACGTCACTGGTGGATCAGATCACCGTCCCTTGTCACTCTCCTCACCCTCCCGAAGTTGCAGTCTCGGCGGGCTCCGCGCGACTGTCCACTCAACCGCTCCACGACCGTCACTCAACTGTCGTGCAACTATGACTCAACTGGAGCTGGATGGTCCGTTGCGTGTTGCCCCCCGCCCGACTACCGGACAACTGGAAACCAGGTGCGGCCCGGTCCAGTCAGGACCTCACCGGATTTACCTCCGTGACCATCCCTGGCCCGTGCAGCGTCAAGGCTCCAGCGGCGATACCAGTGCCGCCTTACGGGTAACACACTAGCGTCATCTGTGGATGATTCAAAGCAGTTACTGGAGGCGGTACTGCATTGGTGGTATTGCCTTTTCCAGTCCAGTTTTGTAATGGGTAGGGGAGGGTGGGGCAAAGCGGCCACCCTAACGCTTCTCACGATGCCAACGCTTGATCTTTAAACTTGGAAAGATTCTTTCTATACCAATGTGATCCCTATTAAGTTGCCTTTTATTTCAACTGCGTTTTATTTCCAAAGGCGTTCACATATGGAAGATATTGACAAAACTTTAAACCTATGCATATTGGCCACTTTGCCCCATACCCTGGGGCAAAGGGGCCACCGGCGTCTTCTCAAGTCCCGATATGAGAAACAAAATAGTTGCCTCATGTACGACTAGGGTATTTGATGGTGACAAGGTTTAAGCGAGGATGGATGTTTGCTTTGTCAGCATCCCACCTGTAGGTAAACAAAGAAAGGATTTTCATGAAAAAACATTTAATTGCATTATTTGGTAACTCATGCAACTGAAAAGTGGCCAAGATGAATGCATGACGACACATTTGAATAAAAATAATGTTTTTTATCCAGATGGAAACAACTTATGGCCAATTGGGGGGTGGCCACTTTGCCCCGGCCACTTTGCCCCGCGCATACCGTCCGAGACAAAAAGATTCCAGCTTAGCTATTAGTGGGGTAAAAATATTAAAATTGGTAGAATACATGTACGATAACCATGCAATGCATGGACAAGAATGCTTATAAAAATTCCAAACGGTTATGAAATAACATAACATTTAAAAAATTTAAACATAGTTGGTAACCTGGCAAGAAATGCTTTTCCGTGTTTCACAGAACAATGGTGATGGGCCTGAAACCCCGGTCTGGCTCATTCGAACGAAAGTGAAGAGAAGTATAATTGGAAACCATAAATTGGAACTGACGCCAGCTATGAAGGGCTAAAACGATGGGTGGCCGCTTTGCCCCGGGTGGCCGCTTTGCCCCACTCTCCCCTAATGGACAAATCAGAATTAGATAACTGCACCCGCTTCAACTTATTTTGCATTTGTTATCATCGGAAGTTAGTCCGCGCCGTGCTGGTGGTTTGAATTTTCCGTGAGTGCTGCAGGGGGGGGGGGGTATTTACACCCCTTCTAACTGGGCTCCTGGGCCACGTAGCGAAACAAGGCAAGCAGTTTTCAAAGGAGCGTCAAAAATAATGAAAAATACTTCAGACCTTTTTACGTCAGAACAAAAGTCATGTTACCAGAGGTCATCAAAGGTCAAATTTCGCCTATTTCGACACTTCTCGACAAATTGGCGCCTAACTCTAAATTGAATAGCAATACCTACAGCACCGTGGAAAAGTGCATTCGATAGATCTTTTAACGATTTTTTCCGGAGTATGTCCTGGGATTTGAGCTACGGTCATCGGTTTAGCCTCCAGAGGGCAATTTTTCGCAATTACTTTTGACTTGAAATCGGCGCGACATTGATTTTGTTCGTATCGCGTTCCCTTGTCGGGCCCAGGGCTGCACAGTCGATGGATGTTAGGGTGACTACGACTCCAACTCCGATTCCGACTCCGGACGGTTCTAAATCCATAAAATGATATTGAAGTTCATAATGGATATGTTTTATCTTGCCTGAAACGATCCCTTGTAGGTTTTAAAGCTTTGCGTTGCAAATATGAATTAAAAACAACATGCAGAATTAAGAAGTAGATTCTGGGGAATTCACTGTCTTCTGCTTCTTTCCGTTTCGCTGAAAACGTTCGTCCAAAACAGAAAAATGGCCTCTTTCCGACAAAGTCTAATTTCGAGCGCAGTATCGTCAATCAAACAGGTGCAGTGCATGACGTTGAGGCTGCAGCATTAACTCCGACTCCGTTGGCGACTCCAACTCCGACTCCGACCCCGGACAGAACTGTCGACTGCGACCGACTCCAACTCCGACTCCGACTCCGCAGCCCTGGTCGGGACGCATCAAATGAACAGGTAAAACTATCAAATTGGCTTTTTATCAAACGTAAAACTTTTATTTGCCCTGACGAGTACAATCATTTGGACTATCGTTAAGAACTATCATTTGATTAGCATGAGCCAGTGCACCGACGAAAGGGGCGCGACTATCCGCCCCATCCATCCCCAGAAGTTCTCCGTAAATAACAGAATACCGTAAATAATAAGAAGTACATAATTTAAAAACGTAAATAACAAATTCAGAGACATTAAAATATCTTTATTTTGGATTCCACATGAAAAATTCAACGAATACACCTTTTCCAAAAGCCTTTGGTTGACGTTTTCACAGAACAAAGTGCGTTTGTAATCAACTGGGATTCTTACTTTATAACATCATGTATTTTATATTTAATGGAATAACCTTCTGTTCAACATTCTAAAAATTGCCAAAAGTTACCAAAAACACTTGAATATATTTCGGAGGCGTTCCTTCATCGGTTCAAGTGATAAACATTTATAGCGCCACATTTGCCGTTAACATATCTGATCCATGTTTTTAAATATAAATCTCGCGTCTATGTGTCTTCTAATTTACATCGACAGAATTACCTTTACAGCGTACGAACAAAATTAGCTCCTACACTTAACAGGTTAATAGGTCATAAAGTTGATACTATTCACACTTACAATGTTAATAGGTTACAATATAGGGGGAGAGAAAGCGGGCAGGGATGAAGGGGGGGGGGGGAATTCTAGGCAGGTCACATTAGTACTATGCCTACCAAAAGTAAACACCGCTGCCTGACAGGATAATTAAGTATGCAAACGAATGAATGACTTGAATGAATGCACGAATGAATGAAGTATGAAAGAGAGGGGCATGAGCATATTATAGGTGAGCAGTCGAATAAGAGAGAGAGAAATACACACAATAATAATCGCTTCACATAAGAAGTGTGTGTGTGTGTGGGAGGGGGGGGGGGGTCGTTCAACAAATCGAAACACGTCTCATACCAGAGCCTATGATCAATAACCGTGTGGTATTCTAGCTCCTACCGGGGACCCGTAACGGACACCACTACTTGACGGTTTACACGATCGTCCATGATGCCACGTTTGTGTTGAGTGCTGGTCGCTCGTCTCTAATATGAAGAGATTCAGCAATCTTTCTCTCGCGCTCAGTCTTGCACACTTGCATTAGTGCAGCTGTCACGTGTGATGGGCTCGGTTGTATGCCACGGTGTTCTTCCCGGAAATGGTCCCCGAGAGGTGAATCTCTGCGTTGGTTTTTGGCGTTACTTAAATTATCCTGTCAGGCAGCGGTGTTTACTTTTGGTAGGCATAGTACTAATGTGACCTGCCTAGAATTCCCCCCCCCCCTTCATCCCTGCCCGCTTTCTCTCCCCCTATAATGTAACCTATTAACATTGTAAGTGTGAATAGTATCAACTTTATGACCTATTAACCTGTTAAAGGGACCATCCCACCTTAACATTAGTTTTGAGTTGAGATAGCCAAGTTTGCGGCCAGGCTCAGAAACCACCATTTATCCTGGTCGCAACCCCCGCAGCTTTATGGTGTTCAAGAAATTTCTTCCCTTTACTTGCAGGGTGGGACCAGCTTAGTCCCTATCTCTTAACCATTAGCGGTTTGTTGATGACGTCAGCAGTCATTTCAACGCCCGCCATTCCTTGAACCCGAGTTTTGCTGACCTTGAGATCCCTTTTTTATCAACGTGAAATCCGTCGTCGGCGCTGAGAAAGCCTATTGCTTTTCATTTTAATTTGAATATTAGAAGATACCCACCACTGGAACTTGGACTGATATTATACCAAGGCCGAAGATGATCAAGCTGCCTGCTATATCTGGAGCTTGGTGTTCAACTTCAACATGGAATGAAAAACAAAATATCAAAGCAAACTGGGTATGGTACTGCAAGTTTAAGTCCAAAGAAATTTGAAGAGCTGACAATTGACATTAATTCTTTTCCCGCAAGGTTTCCATAGGAGATCACACCATGAAGAAATATTTTTGATGTTAACAGTTGAAAGGGGATTGATCTTCCAGTTTTGACGAAAGACGCTGCTGACTGTCTTTGGAAAAGGATGTCGGCATGAGGTGCAATTGTGCTTGTGAAGTGGTTATAACTGGTCTTTTCACAGTATTAAATTAAATGTGCCATTGCAGCCAAGTGTGTTATCATGTAAGGTAAAATCAAAACTACAATGTTGGTTTTACGAGCATTGAGAAGGCTGGTAGGTAACACCTGCCTGTGCTCGTAAATCATGCTGCCAGAGTATTCTAAATTAATTTTATCATACACTTTTGTTGTCCAGAATGGTTGCGCTATTGTTTGGTATCATATTATTCCATGTAAATATGGTAGTGTAAAGTCCGACCAACATGTTACCAGATTTGAAGCTGTTACGTTACCTAAGTACCTGTTTTTTACTGGCGTGGTGAATGTCACCTGGATTTTGTTTTGAGGTGCAGACCTAGTAACTCTGACTACATGGGTTTGAAGCTATTATCTATTCTGTTTTTACTGGCCTGCACTGAAAAAAATAATGACACCTAAAAGGGGTGTTTTTTGAAGCGTACCAAAAACGCGCAGTTTTCTGGAGTCCGATTACACCCGGAATCAGACACTTTCTAGGGTATTATGACACTGGTTGAGGGTGTATTTTTACACCGTACGTCGTCAAATGATTCCCGGAATCATACGCCTTATGGAATAAAAATACACCCCAAATCAGAGTCATAATACTCTAGGAAGTGTCTGAAGTGTCTGATTCCGGGTGTAATCTGACTCCTGGAAACTGCGCGTTTTTGGTACGCTTCAAAAAACACCCCTTTTAGGTGTCACTTCAGGGAGTAATCGGATCTTGAGGGTGTATTTTGATCCCACACGGTGTATGATTCCGGGAATCATTTGACGACATGTGGTATAAAATACACCCCAAATCAGGGTCATAATACTCTAGGAAGTGTCTGATTCCATGGGTACACGGGTGTAATT